TATTATATTATATTATATTATATTATATTATATATTATATATATATTTAGAAATATATAAATATTTCAAAGCACTAGTTTTTAATAATAGAGGAAAGTATTTCTAGTCGAAGGTTTTCATTTAGTTTCATTTATTTTGATATCACAATTATATGATTGAAGTTATGAAGTCTAATATATAGTTGCAGCTTCTACGAAAATTCAATGGAGGTTCTCATAACATTTCAATCCTAAAAGAAACTATTCTAAACACTTTTTAATAATAAAACAAAACTATTTTTATCTTAAATAATATTTTCATTTTAATATTATATTTTTATTTTAATATTACATCATATACTCGAGGCTACGAAATTACAGGAATTATTCCTGTGCATAAAAAATTACGATCAGACGTCGCCCAGTCCAAAAAGTATTTCCTCTTCGTATGAAATGTCGGGATAACATTGTAGAACATTGGACAACAATATTTAATCACTAGGATCGTGAGCATGAAAAACGTCTGACATTAAGAGATCTTCTTCCAGACTCGAGCAGCGAGATTTCTTAAGAAATTTCTATCCGGGTCTTCGCGTACCCGAAAAGTTTTATCAGTCTCAACTACTTAATGAAATTATTCCAAGTTTTGGCTACGGCAGCTGTTACAAAAGTTGTCTACCAAAATTGATTAAAATACAGGAAAGTCGATTACTCCCGTAACACTTTAACAAACTCCTAAAATCTCTGACAACTTTGAAGATGTTCCTTCCAGAACAGATTAGACAGAATGAATAATAAACTTATCCGACAGCGTATTCCTCTATTACGCGAGGATTTCCGGAAAATTAGTAAGACCTCCGCTCTGCCGACATCAAAAGATCCACATAAAGAATTTCTTTCTGTCTCAAGAATTCGACTTCGATGTACCTGCAGACATTTTCTACGAAATCGTAGCTTATTTCCGCGTAAAGATCGACTCTCGCGATTCTCAACTACTTAGAGTTTCCACGGTGAAAAGACCATTCCAAAGCCCAACAAATTACGCAACGAGAAGGAAAGCCCCAACATTCGCAAGTTTTATAAATTGAAATACTTCCGGGAGCCAAGGAATGGCTACTGAAAAGTAACTTGGAACTTCGGGGATAAGTTTGCTCGGAGTTATGATCTGAAAGAGGAGCGCCAGAAACGAGTTTCCACGCTTTTCCCGACTGAAACGCGGAACGTAAAGCGGAAACACCCAATGGAATCGCGGGCTGACATAACCGCGGTCCTTGGACCTGCGTGTCGGCTGCTATGATCACAAAAAGTTGCGTTAATTGCCCATGTCGCGATCTAAAACCATTCATCCCCGTAGCGTTCGTCAAACAAATTTTCTTCATTTATTCGACGGTCTTTCAGCCATTTTACTGCGCTTGCATAATCTTTCAGCCATTTATTTCTCTGCGCTTCTATCATTTTCCATCGCCCAAGAAAAGACCTTGAGAGATAAGAAATATAATTTCTTAATTAATTAAAATTCACGCTTTGTAGAATTAGGAGAATATGTTTGCAACATCGTCGAGTAATTCGTTTCTATTTAATCATAAAGCATAAAACCCCTTTCGAAGAGAAACACAAATTAGCATAAAGACCATTCGGGGAATGCAAATAGAAAATCTAGAAGAATCGTAAATAACAATATCAATAACAACAGAAATTACTGAAAGAAAAATAAGGGTAGAACATTGAACCCTTTTCAAAATAAAATACGAATTCTTACAGTATCATCTTCCTCGCGAATGTTTAAAAAACCAGGTAAAAATCCTGCAAGAAATACCTACTAAAAGGTAATACCAGTACACCGGGTGTCCGAGAAATCACACTGTACAAGTAACGATCCCTGGTACTTAAATAGTTGAATACAAGTTCTGCCGCGAGTCTAATCGATTATATCCACCGAATGTATCGATCAAGGTGCGCCATTTCGGAGCACTTTCGACAGTAACAAGCGTCAAGTTTCCGAAATTAGTATCGAGATGTAACGCCGCCGGCAGTTGCAACATGGCCCGCAGAAATCTCGAATAGGAATCGTTACATTTCGACGATCTTTAGGTTGATTAATGGGGAAAACGCGAGTGAAGTCGTGATCCAGCGGCCCGATCGAGGGCTTCCGATCCAACGAGGCGGTCCAACTTCGATCCCGAGGCGATCACGTTTGATGGAAGTTTCTCCGATGGTCTCCATCGATCAAAGCGAGCCGCGTTGCGACATCGGCCGCGTCTCGCGCATTTCCATGGAATATGATGTAACACAGACGAAGTTACGAGGCGATGTAACTGGCCGTGACGAGCCCCGAGAAACCTCAACGGCCGCGCCGATTAACGGGCTGACGCGTAAGCGTGCCCATTGATAAATGGGCCCGATTCTGATCCCGATTTATATCGGCCGGCGAAACCTGTTGACGATCTCGCCGACGAAGCTTGGGAACGGCGTTGATCCGATCGTAAGTCTCCCTTCGTTATCGTTGATTGCCGTTGATCTGGGATTCCGGGAATTGCCGGCTGTTTTGATCGGGCATTGCTGGAAGTGCAGTCAACTCTCCCCAATTTTCGCGGTTCGTTTTTTATGGTTGTTAACAAGCGGCGACTATAAAAACGAGCCTCGAGGCTCGAATAATCGTGTCTCCTCTTCCCAGATTTTCCATTTCTGTTTGCAAGCTGAGGGACAATTGGAGAGAAATTACTATTTAGACGACAATTTTCTTCCACACGAATGAAGAAGATATTTTAACGCTTTAATGTGTGCTAATTATTTCTACAATAATTGCCGTTCAGACAACAGTTTTTGGTCACAAAAATAAACGTGATATTTTACCATTCTAATGTAAATTATTATTAGCAAGAATTACTGTTTAGACAACGATTTTCTTTCACAAAAATGAAGAAGATATTTCACCATTCTGTTGTCAATTATTTTTTAGTGAGAATTAGACAACAATTTAAACAAAAATTTCTGCTTTCAAAAATAAGGACGAAATGATGCCATTCTGATATAAATTATTGTCAACAATTACCAATTAGGCAATGAGTTTCTGCTACACAAAATTTTTTTTTTGCATTCTATCGTAAATTACTATTAGCAGTTACCATCATTTACAGAATAATTTTTGTTCACAAATCCGAACGAAATATTTCACCATTCGAACGCCAATTATGTTTCTAAAGCCTATTGCGATTTAGCCAAGAATTTTCATTCATAAAAATGACGATAACAATGCACGGTCACGTTACAAATGGTTCGCCAACAAATCCGAGGAACTTTATCAGACCGCTGACTAGAAATTCAAGGTTCCTCGCTGGTCAAGAAACCTACACGCAGGTTCAATCAGAACGTTTTACACCTACCGATACTATCGCGAAAGTAATTTGCTCGAAGATTGGCTTAAGTTACAGCTCTTGAATCATGATGTCGGTGTCAAGATACGAGATAGCTTTGCGAAGAACAAGGTTGAAAGTATTTAATCGATCCTGAAAGGAGGTTGTTGCTACTCGCCGGAACATTTTCATAATTACAGTGGATGTCGTAAGCAATATACGTGGATATCATTCTGC